AATGCTAGGGGTTGAAGATTTAGCTCAGTGGTACAGCATCTGACTAGCAAGTACAAGGCCTTCAGTTTGGTCTTTAGTTCCAGAAAAAAAAAAAAAAGACAAAATAACAAAAAAGATCAAAAAAGACAGCTGAGCATAGTGGTGCAGGCCTTTAATCCCAGCACTCAGAAGGCAGAAGCAGGCGCATCTCTGTGAGTTCAAGGCCAACCTAGTCTACATAGTAAGTTCCAGGACAGCTGGGGCTACAGGGAGACCCTGTCTCAAACAGACCAAAAAATAAATAAATAAATAAATAAACAAACAAACAAATAAAAGATCAAAGAAGAAAAAAAACCTAAAATTTACTTCCTACTGTAGATTTTGAAAAGAGACTGTTTCTTAAAACACAATGTAAAAACTAGAAGCAATAAGATCAAAGACAAATACAAGTTGTTATGTACCAAACACCAGATACAGTGGGTCATACCTGTAATCCCAGCATTCGGAAGGCAAAGGCAGGTGGATCTCTCTAAGTTCAAGGCCAGCCTGGTCTGCATAGCAAGTTCCAGGTCTGCCAAGGCTACACAGTGAGACCCTGTCAACAAAACAAAACAAAACCAAAACGAAAAGTGAGCAGACAGGGGAAAGGAGAGGGGTTGGGTCGACCAGAAGTAAGGATATATGAAAAACCTTTATAAAAATCCACTGCTTTACAAACTAATTTCAAAATATAATTTTTAAAAAGCAGTTTGAAAAAAAAAAAGGAGTTTGAACCTTGCATGGGTGGACAATGCTCCCCCGCAAAAGACATGGTTAACACGGTTATTAAATGAAAATCTCAGTACCAGATGATACCTCCCTACAAAGGCCCCCCAAAACACAGGCTATTGCCATTGCTCTTGGTTGCCCACTGTAACTACACAGTTAACATTATATTGCTGAAGATACAACATACTTTGGTTGTAGGACAGAGAAATCAAGTTGCTGAAAGCTTCTTTGCTGGTTAGTTTTCATAGTGCTAGACAGTACTATGCAGGCCACTGGGGTAAGCATACATTAACGATATTACCCAGCAGCAAACCCTACATGATACAATACTGACCTGCCGGGCAAGATGTGCCCACTAGTGAAATAGTGGCTTGACGGTTATGGGGGTAACCAACCACTTCTTAGATTGGATTTGAGGTCTGCTCCACAAGACAGAATTCATGTCTAATACTGGAAACCTGGTCAAAAGCCAGGCTCAGGAGGCTATAGGCCCTAGGGGGAAACTTAACCACTGTTGCTTTGCTAATTGCTCAGGTTATCAAATTGCATTCTAAATATTGTAGTTTTGTTTTAAAATATTTTATTAAAATTTTTAAAAGGGGGGGGCTGGAGAGATGGCTCAGTGGTTAAGAGCACTGACTGCTCTTGCAGAGGACCCGGGTTTGATTCCCAGCACCCACATGGCAGCCACAAACTGTCCTTAACTCCAAGTTCCAAGAGAATCGGAAGCCCTCTTCTGACCTCCAAGGGATTGCACGACACAGGTGCACTTACATATATGCAAGCAATACACTCATGCACATAATATAAAAATAAAATATATTATTTATTATTTTTATTTTATGTGTTATGAGTGTATTGCTTGCATGTATAAGTACATCTGTGTCGTGCAATGCCCTTGGAGGTCAAAAGAGGACATGGGATCCCCTGGAACTGGAGTTACAGATGTTTGTTAGCTGCCGTGTTCTAGGAATTGACCTTGGGTCCTCTACAAGAGCAGCCAGTGCTCTTTACCACTGAGCCATCTCTCCAGCCCCCTAAATATTGTTAATACCCATAGATTAAGTACTGCTCTCAACTGTGCCAGAGAAGTCTCCTTCTGTACTGGGCAGCAATGCAGAGACTCAATTGGTCAAAGTGCTGAGAATAACCAAATGTTGAGTGCTCAGTCCTAAATGAGACATCTGTATCTATTCCTACCGCACAGCTCATGGAACATCTTGGAAGAGCGGATAGAAAGAATGCAAGAGCCACAGGATGGGGAAGAGTGCTGAGAAATGCTGTCTTCTGGACATGACATGGCTATTGCATTCATGAACTCACGGCAGCTATGGACCTGCACAAGCCCTGCACAAGATCAAGTCAACAAAGTGTCACATTCCAGCAGAAAGCACTAACTGAACTCAGTGGGTTATGAGAGGCTGGGGGAAGCAGGGAGGGGATATGAAGGGGAAGGGGGACATACTGAGAGTGTTTCAGGGAATAGAAGGGAGAGGTTGGGGTATATAAAATCAAGACACAGGGGCTGGAGAGATGGCTCAGCGGTTAAGAGCACTGACTGCTCTTGCAGAGGATCCAGGTTCAATTCCCAGCACTCATATGGTGGCTATGAACCGTCCTTAACTCCAGTTCCAGGAGAATCTGAAGCCATCTTCTGACCTCCAGGGCATTGCACGACATGGGTGCACTCACATACATGGCAGGCAATATACTCATACACATAAAATAATAAAAATAAAATATTTTTAAAAGATCAAGGTACATTGTATACATGTATGAAATTGTCAAAGAATAAATAAACCAACAAAAAACCTAGAAATTTACGTTAAAGCAACAATAAAAAATGTTACAGTATTAAAGACTTTTACCCTTTGGAAGTGATAATCCTTGACATTCATAATTAATTTAACATCTCTATAACTAGAATGACACTGTGATCCATGAAAGCAGTTATCATAGTTTGTTGCTATATTATTAGGAATCAGAACACTGACCAGTTCATAGGAGCTTTTCATATACTAATAAAACAAAAATAATCCAATAGAAAAATAGGCAAAGAAAAACCACGTACCAATAAAATATGGTGAATATACAGAAGACATCAAGGCTGAAGATGTAGCTCAGTTGATAGACTGCCTGCCTAACATGTACAGACCCCAAATTCAATCCTTAGTACTACCACATAAATAAGGTATGGTGTTATACACCTGTAATCCCAGTACTTGGGAAGATCACAAATTCAAAGACATCCTTCTTGAGGCCAGCCTGGACTACCTAAGACCTTTTTCCCCAAAAAAGAAAACACCCTAGGCTGGAGAGACAGTTCAACGGTTAAAAGAACTGGCTGCTCTTGCAGAACCCACATGACGGCTAACAACCACCCATACATAACTCATGTTCCAGGGGATCCAACACCCTCTTCTGACCTCCATGGGCATTTCAAAACATGGGTACTCTTACATACATTCAGGCAATACACTCAATACACATAATAAAATAAATATTTTTTAAAAAGAGAAAAAGGCTGGGGGTGGTGGCACATGCCTTTAATCCCAGCACTTGGGAGGCAGAGGCAGTCGGATCTTTGTGAGTTTGAGGCCAGCCTGGTCTACATAGTGAGTTCCAGGACAGCTGGGGCTACAGGGAGACCCTGTCTCAAAACAACAACAACAACAACAACAGAAAAAAAAAAGAGAGACCTTGTCTCAAAAAGACCCCTCCCCAAAAAAGAAAACACCCCAACCTTAAAACCCTCATGTGACCTATAAAACTGACAAAGCTTAAATTGGTTCTTCTTGGAAGGTAATTTAACCACACCCTTAAAAAATTTTTTTTAATATTTATTATTTTTATTTTATGTTTGTGTATTGCCTGCACATAGGTAATTGCACCCGTGTTGTACAATGCCCGCGGAAGACAGAAGAGCTGTCAGATCCCCTGGAACTGGAGTTAGAGACAGTTGTTAGCTGCCATGTGGGTGTGGGATTCGAACCCAGGTCTTCTGCAAGAACAGTCAGTGTTCTTAACCACTGAGCCATCTCTCCAGCCCCACACACCCTTAAAACTTTTAAGTGTTGCCGGGCATGGTGTCTTATGCCTTTAACCCCAGCACTAAAGAAGCAGAGGCAGGTGGATTGAGACCCGCCTGATCTACATAGCAAGTTCCAGGCCAGCTGGAGCTACAGGAAGACTTCTTTTCATTTTTTTATTTTATGTGTATGAGTATATTGCCTGCATGTAGGTAAATGCACCCATGTAGTGCAATGCCCACAATGCCCGTGGTGGTCAGAAGAGGCTGTCAGATGCCCTGGGACTGGAGTTACAGACAGTTGTTAGCTGCTACGTGGGTGCTGGGATTCAAACCCGGGTCTTCTGCAAGAACAACCAGTGTTAACTGCTGAGCCATCTCTCCAGCCCCTTTAAAAAAAAAAGCAAAAGCTGGACATGGTGGCACATGCCTTTAATCCCAACACTTGGCAGGCAGAAGCAGGCAGATCTCTGTGAATTTGAGGCCAGCCAGGTCTACATAGGAAGTTCCAGAACAGCTGGGGTTATAGGGGGACCCCATCTCAAAAAGACCAAAAAAAAAAAAAAAAAAGGCGAGGCAGGCGTGGTGGCACATACATTTAGTCCCAGCACTCAGGAGGCAGAGACAGGCAGATATTTGTGAGGTCCAAGCTAGCATGGTCTACATAGTGAATTCTAGTCAGGGAGACCTTATCTCAAAAAAAAAAAAAAGAATTTAAGTCTCATACTCTTTTACCAAGAATTTGAGTGGCAACTTAATTTACAGAAATAATTGCATAGGGGCTGGAGAGATAGCACAGTGGGTAAGAACATCAGTTGTTCTTGCCGAAGACCCAGGTTCAATCCCAGCACCCACAGGGCAGCTAACAACTGTCCGTAACTCCAATTCCAGGGGATCCAACAGTCTCTTCTGTCCTCCAAGGTCACTGCACCACACGGGTGCACTTACCTACATGCAGGCAATACACACATACACATAAAAAAAAATAAAATTTTTTTTTAAAAAAGAAAGATTTGCATAAAAAAGTTCACTGCATCATTATATAACAATCAAGGCAAATGTCCATCAATAAAGTTATGCGTCTGTCTACATAATGGAGCAATGTAAAAGGCATCAAGGACATCTGATCTGATGGCTTAAAGGGAAAAACCAAGACTCTTCTGGGAAGGATAATGACAGTAAGTGCAAGCTAGAGGTTAGAGGACAACAAAGGAATGATGCATACCAGAAAGGCAGGTTGAGAGCTGCTCATCATCCACGGGAGAGGCTTTCTGGCTACTCTTGCCACCTGCTATTTGATTTTCTACTTTGAGTTCACTGCAAACCAAGGGAGCTTCCAGTGGACTTTTACAGTAAGGGTGATCCAGTAACTTAGAACTAAGAATGTTCTGCTTGAGAGAGCCATCCTCCTCCATCTGGAAATTCTCATTCTGAGCAGGCTCTTCAGACACCAGCCCATCTACACTACTCACAGATTTGTCTGCTCCAGACACTGGCAGCTTTACTCTGTCATCATTGACAGTACTTGTCCCACCTTCCTGACCCAGAGTCATAACTGCTCTTTCAGTTTCTGAGGTGAACTTGTTACTAGAAGGATGTTCTGTTAAGGGGATTTCATGAATCTGCTCTGTACACTCCCACTTAGGAGAAGAGGGTGACTGGTCCCAGGTGTATGTAGCACTGCCATTCTTTTGGTCAAGGAATGCTTCATCTAAATTATGCTCCTTGTCCAAGAAAGGGCTTCCCTTAGAGTGGCCATCAGGCACGTGAGAGTTCTTTCCCTTCACCACAACATTGCCGTCCATATCTGGAAAGTATGGCTGATACCGACAAGTGTCTTTAGGTTCTGGGGAAGGGACTGGGCTGCAATTGCCACCCTCAGCGCTATCCCTAAGGGCCTCCTGATGGTCCCCAGTGACCTTCTGTACCCAGCTTCGCTGGGCTTTTCTCAGTCTGCAAGCTCTGCTTTTTGTTCTGAAGTGCTGGGATCTGAGAATCCTATGGCGAAATCTAATCATGGATAATTTCTCATACATCATAAGAGGTGACGCTTTGACTCTTCGATGTTGGTTAAGTTGGAACTTTTTTGGCATCAGGGGTCTCCCATTCCTGTGATGATCTAGCCCTTGGTAGCAGCCATAACAAAAGCGCTTTCTATGTTTGCTCAAGATCACAATCTTGCCACCATCACCTAGACTTTGACTCTCCCCATTGAACTTCATGGGAAAATCAGAAGCTTGTGGCTCTGTCCTAGGTCTGTGACCACTGGCCTTACCTAAAATAGTATTTGCTGATAAGCCAGCAACTGCCTTCAGTAGACTTTTCTCTCTGCAGTATTCATGGTCCAAGTTCTTTGCTGATGACAGCAACTTATCTGCTTGGAGTTTCAGGAGCCTCCTTGAGGAAGAAATGAAGTGTTTACTGTCCTTTCTTTTCACTTTAGAATACAAAGCACTAACATTCTGAGTAGACACACTGGACTTTGTCTTTGCACAAAGGGGTGCAATCTGGATCCATGTTTTCTGGATGTGAAGAGCCTTCTTATTACACTGGAAATGCTTCAAGTGTCTACGCCAAGCAACTGGCCTTCCCAGGTTAGTTTTAAAAATGCACACGTGTTGGGGAAAATAGAACTTCTTAAAATTTCCAAACCCAGTATTCCATTTCTCAGAAAAGGCTACGTGAATTCCTTTCTTCCATAGAATTTTCCTCTGTTTTTTCATTTTTCTGATGCATAATGAGAACTGGATGCACCTACAAATAAAGAAAAGTTACACGAAATGTAAAAAACTAACATCATGAAGACATATAGCAATTAAGACAGAAAACTAAGAATATTACACAATTCAATTTAGGCTCCGACCATGAAGAAATCCTATTTGATCGAGGTTTTCATTGTAATGAAAACTGGGGAGGAAGACATGAGCACTACATCAAGACCCTATTTTCCTGTATACCTGCCACAGGTAGGACTATGTTTCAAGAATCACTTCTAGCAGGGCATAGTGGCACATACCTTTAATCCCAGTACTTAGGAGGCTCTGTGAGTTTAAGGTCAGTCTGGTCTACATAGCAAGCTCTAGGCCACCCTGGGTTATACAGTGAAACCCCATCTCAAAAAAAAAAAAAAGGCCCAGTATGCAACAGTTTCTGATGGAATGCAGAAGGCATAAGAGAGAGAATCAGAAGAGGATTTCTTTTTTAATTTAATTTTTATTATTTATGTATGAAATATGGGGGGGAACTGGAGAGATGGCTCAGTGGTTAAGAGCACTGACTGTTCTTGCAGAGGACCTGGGTTCAGTTCCCAGCACCCATATGGGGGCTAACAACTATCTGTAATTCTGGTTTCATGGAATCCAACTCCCTCTGCTGGCCTTCACAGGCATTGTACCCACGAGTATACCAAAGCACTCATAAATATACAATGAAAATAAATCAACAACAATGTAATGAAAAGAAGAAGAGAGGGCTGGAGAGATGGCTCAGCGGTTTAAGAATACTGGTTGTTCTTGGAGAAGACCCGGGTTTGAATCTGAATTTGAAGCACCTACATGGCAGCTAACAATGTCCATAACTCCAGTCCCAGGGGATCTGACAGCCTCTTCTGACCTCTGTGGGCATTGCACGACATGGGTGCACTTACCTACATGCAGGCAATACTCGCATACACATAAAAATATAAATAAAAGTTTAAAAATAAAACAAGAGTGCCGGGTGTGGTGGCACACACCTTTAATCCCAGCACTTGGGAGGCAGAGGCAGGCCTGGTCTACATAGTGAGTTCCAGGAAAGCTGGGGCTACAAGGAGACCCTGTCTCAAAAAGACCAAAAAAAAAAAGAAGTATGTGTGTGTGAATGAGGTGTACACATACCACACAGCACAAATGTGGAGGTCAGAGGACATCACCCAGGAGTCAGTTCTTTCCTTCCATTATGGGTTTCAGGGATTGGACTCAGGTTGTCAGATTTTCAAGGATCCGCCTGCCTCTGCCTCCCCTGTACTGGGATTAAAGGCGTGCACCACCTTGCTGGGGTCCAGACAGATTTTCTAACGTTGACTCTGCTTCTCATTAGCTAAGTGATTTTTGAGCAAGTCATCCAGATTCTGTGTCCTCATTTGTGAAATGAAAGAGGAAGGGAGATGGACCAAACACCACTTAGGACTGATTTCATATCCATTAATTTATCTTTTAAATATTTTTATTAACGAACTTCATACAATATTTTGATCATCTTCCCCCAGATCCACTCCCATGTCCCTCCCTTCCCCCCAACTTCATGTTTATTTTTCCCCCCATTGAGTCCAAGGGGTTGCCCAAATATCCTGGATTATGGTCAATCTATCAAAGGTCAGACCCTTAAAGAAAAACCCGACTCTTCCAGTCCCAGCAGCTATCAAATGCCAATAGCTCCTCAGGTAGGGATGGGGTCTTCTACCCAACTCCCTCGCTCCATGCTAGGACTCTGTTTGGCTTGAGCTTGAGTAGGTCTTGTACATGCTGTCACAACTGTTATGAATTCAACTGCCCTGTTGTCTGGAAAACTGTTTACTTATAGTCATCTTCCACCTATGGATCTCACAATCTATCAACTCCCAGTTCTGCAACGATTCCTGAGCCTTGGGGAGAATGGTTGTGACATGGATGTCGTATTTGGGACTGAGCACCCCACAGTCTCTTATTCTCTGCATGCTGACCTGGTATGGATCTCTGTGATAACTGCTTTCTATTACAAGAAACATCTCTGATAAGGGTTGAAAAATGTACTAATCTATGAGTATAATGATATACCATTAGAAGTCATTTAAATACTATGTACATTTAGTAGAATTTAGCAGGTTTCTTTTTTCTTTTTTTTTGGGGGGGGGGTCTTTTTGAGACAGGGTCTCCCTATAGCCCCAGCTGATCTTGAACTATGTAGACCAAGCTGGCCTTAAACTCATAGAGATCCTCCTACCTCTGCTTCACGAGTGCTGGGATTAAAGGCATGAGCCACCACGCCTGGCAGCAGTAGGTTCTGTCATAGGTCTATGACGTATCTAGCCACAGGTTCTTGACCCTGATAACAGGGCCAGGCATGAGTTCCATATCCTGCAGCAGGCCTTGAAGCCAACCAGAAGGTGGCTAGTTACTCCCATAGCATTCATGCCACAATGGCACTGAGGGGCATATCTTACAGGTAAGTAATACTGATGATTACTTCTCTCCTTCAGTAGTGTGTATAGCATCTGCCAGCACTGTGAAAGCCAGCCAGGTTAGGGATGAAGCTTCCAAGTCAGTACTTACTTGATTTCTCCATGTTTTATGACTCAAGTATATATTGTCTTCATCAACAGGGTCTTACCATCAAGTTCTGGTGGGTAACCAAGAGCAATAGCAATAACGTGTAACCTTTAGGGGTCTATGGGATCCCACTGGCCAACAACTTCAAGAGAAGTAACCCATTCCTGGCAATTGGCTTTTTATTTGCTAGGATGAGTTTTCTAGTTGGGATATTGTTATTCCATTATAGGGTGATTCCATTTAAATTCTTCTTATATTTGTATATGTACATATTTTAGACAGCTTCTACAGTAGGTTTCCGTGTTTTTTTAAAGTCTTTAGTGTCTGTTAACTCTCCCCATACTCCCTTTTCTACACTGTCCTCTAATTCCACACTCTATTTAATCCTTCCTGTTCCACTATTCCCCTTTCTCCCTCTGTATCACTGCATTCTATCTCCCTTCCCTTGAAAGATCCTCCCCATGCCCATTAACAATGGTCCCTTGTTAGTTTCCTAACTTCTAGGGGTACTCCTAATGAAACATACATGTCTAAAGATTCAAAGCTAACATCCACATGAGGAAAAGCGTGTAATGTCTGTCCTTCTGGGCCTGGGTTACCTCACTCAGGATATGCTCCTAGTTCCATCCATTTACCCATGTATTTCATAATATCATTTTTCTTAATAGCTGAATAATATTTCATTGCATAAATGTACATTTTTCATATTCATCAGCTGATGGATATCTAAGTTATTCCCATTTCCTGGCTATTGTGAACAGAGCAGCAATGAACATGGATGAGCAAGTATCTCTGTAGTAGGATAGTCCTTTGAGTATATGGCCAGGAATGGTATAGCTGGATCATGTGACAAATCTATTTCTAGTTTATTGAAAAACTTCCACCCTGATTTCCACAGTGGCTACACCAGTAAGCACTTCCACCATCAGAGAAGCGCTCCCTTTCCCCATACTCATGCCAGCATTTGTAATCTTTTTTTTTTTTTTTTGGTTTTTTTTGAGACAGGGTCTCCCTGTAGCCCCAGCTATCCTGGAACTCGCTATGTAGACCAGGCTGGCCTTGAATTCACAGAGATCCACCTGCCTCTGCCTCCCGAGTGCTGAGATTAAAGGTATGCACCACCACGCCTGGCTTATAATCTTTTTTTTTTAACCATAGCCATCTGACTAGGGTAGGATAAACTCTTGTTTTAGGTTTTTGCTGTGTGTGTGTGTGTGTGTGTGTGTGTGTGTGTGTGTGTGTGTGTGTGTATGTGTGAGAGAGGTTCTGTGTGTGTGTGTGTGTGTGTGTGTGTGTGTGTGTGTGTATGTTTGAGACAGGGTTTCCCTGTAGCCCCAAGTCTCCCTAGCCTGGAACTCACTATGTAGACCAGGGTGGCCTTGAACTTAAGAGATCCACTTGCCTCTGCCTCCCAAGTGCTGCAATTAAAGGCATGTTACCACCACACCCAGCTCTCAAAATAGTTTTAATATGCATTTCCCTGATGGCTAAGGATATTGAAATTTTTTGAGCCATTTGTATTTCATCTTTTGAGAACTCTCTATTTAGTTCCATGCCCTATTTTTCAATAGTCACCCAGCAAATTTTTAAAAGAGCAGGTACCCATTGGTCCACAAAGTCAGCATCCTCAAGAGAGACCAGGCTCTTCTTTTGCAGGTCAAGGAGTCTCAGAGTGACTCTAAAGGAGCAGGACTCCACCAAGTGTTCTCACCCAGTTAAACTGGCTCTCAAGTGAATTTTATAAAGACCAAGAACACAAACACACAGACTGAACTTCAGGAAGAGCCTGATAAAGATGAGACGGAATGAATGGAAACCAAACATGAAGCTGGGAATGTAAGTCAGTGATAGAGTGCCTGTCTAGCAAGCACAAGACCCTGGAAGCCCCAGCATCAGAAAAACAAAAACAAAAAACAACAAAAACCTAATAAACAGGTATGATGGGACTGGAGACAGAGTGCTTGCCTAGCACCCCGTAAAACCAGGCATGGAGGCACATACAATTCCCACACTCCAGAAATGGAGGCAGGAGGATCAGAAGTTCAAGGTCTAGGGAAGAAGTCATTAATGGTCTTACCGAGCTGTGAACCCAAAGAGCTACAATATCAACCTACCAGGCAAGATGTGCCCACTGGAACATTAAGGCTACTGAGGTGCACAATCAATGTCTAACTGGATGTGAGGTCCACCCCATAGGAAGGCACTCATGCCTGGCACTGTAAACCTGGTCAAAAGTCCATACATGACAAGGTGACAGGCCCTAGAGGGGAATCTACTACTGCTTTGCTAAATGGACATGCTGTCCAAACAGCCTTCTAATTAGTTACGTTTATACCCATAAGATTAGTGCTGCTCTAAGCCTGGGTTAGAGAAACTTCTGTATGCTAGCCTTGAACTTGCAATCCTAAATCACCCTCACAAGTGCTAGAATTGTAAGTATGTGCTACCATGCACAGCTAGGAGTTGGAT